GAGGTGTGTGCACCGTGCCTCGGCAAAAGTGAGGGTGCATAGGCCCGTCTGTGCGTATGGCCATACTACAGAAAACGGTGCCGGTCTGAGGGCGTCTTTCGTTAAACGATGCCCTAAATATTGGATGATGGAACAAAGAAAAGGAATGCGCATAGGGCCGCTGCCTGGGGGCCGCCAGGGCGCGTCTGGAGCTGGTGCTGGACGTGGCAGCATGCGGGACGCCAGCCGAGCGCGGGGTACTGCACGACCACCAAACAGTACCTCGCATCCATCATCCCCACCAGTTGGCTTGGTGTCGGCAGGATCCTCTCGGATCCAGCAATCGGCACCCGCCGCTGATGGAATACGCCGCTTGCGCTGGACGACTGATATGAATCGAAACGCAATGCGGGCGTATTTTAGGGCGAAAGGGAATGAAACTGGAGGGTTTGCGTATCGGGCAAGAATGCATCGCTTTTTTGCTGAGCTGTAACCGTCACCGAGCAAAACCTGGCACACCGAGTTCGGTACATCACGCGTTCGAAAATATTTGATGATGCCGAACTCGAACGACTTCGACGTGAGGCTGTTCCCTCATCGGACGAAAAGTGCAGTAGCTGGAAATACGAGTGAGCCGCAAGCTGCGGATCCCGCGGGGTTACAAGCGGAAGCGGAGGCCGCGTTTTACCCCCCGGCCCCTGTAGATTCTTTCGATGATGGAATAGTCGCCCAAGATATAGAGCAGATGAGAAGCATATTGGAGGAGGCAATTCTGGAGGTGCGCGAAACGCCTCTCGAGAATCGACCACGTCTCCCCCGCATTAGCGCCGCAGTAAGCGGAGTCGGTCTGTCATGAAGTCTCTTAACCTGATGCTGGCAATCTATTTGGAAGCTAGCCGGGACCTTTGCGATACGGACTCAATTCTCTTTGGCGCTGCACTGGCAGTATGCCGAATCGTTGGCGCCAAACTTCCCAAGGCTGGACGTGCTACCAGACCAGGTAGCACTATCCCAGCATGGAGAAGAAGAATTGAGGACCGTATCACAAAGGTAAGGGCCATCATCGGCAGGCTGATAAGCTGCAGGTCGGGCAATAATAGGCCCAGAATTGTGCGCACCGTTAGGATGGCGTTCGCTGGGACCAACATCAACTTGTCCCAGCCGGATATTACGCAAAAACTAACGGAGCGCATAAATGACCTGAAGCAGAGGATCGCTGCTTGGGGGAAGCGGATTCGGAGATATACCGAGAGGACGGCGCGGTTTAGCCAGAATCGCCTCTTCCAGAGTGACCAAAAGAGGCTCTACAAATCTTTGGAGCGACCAATGAGCTGTAGAACGGGACAAGGACCAGACCAGGCCGACACTGTTGCCTTCTGGCGCAGCCTGTGGTCAGAGCCCGTAGACCACAGAGAGGGCCCTTGGACGCAAGTCGTGGCGAGCCAATGCGCAGATATCACACCCATGGACCCCGTCGTCATAACACCCGACGACGTATCTGAGGCAGTCCATAGAGCCCCGAACTGGAAAAGTCCGGGGCTTGATGGGCTGCATCACTACTGGCTGAAGCGGTTCGTGGTGTGTCATGCTGTGCTCGCCCGACAGTTCCAAGAAGCTCTCGATCAGAGGTCGCTCCCGAGCCTCTTTACTACTGGGGTCACTCATTTGTTTCCTAAAGATCACGTTACCACAGACCCGAGTAAGTACCGCCCCATTACGTGTCTACCCACCATCTATAAGACACTGACATCTATTCTGAGCATGAGAATCACGCGACATATTAATATGAATCGGATTATGTCTCATGCTCAGAATGGATGTCGGGGCAGCGGTCGTGGAACCAAGGAACCGCTTCTCATCGACGCGGTCATTGGCAAAATGGTTAAGCGCAACCGTCGGAACTTCTCCGCCGCCTGGATAGACTACAAAAAGGCATTCGACTCGGTGCCCCATACATGGCTAAAGAGGGTCCTCGAACTGTACAAAGTAGACTGTACAGTAAGAGACTTCCTCGGGCACTGTATGGGGCAATGGAGTACGATCCTTTGTCATCTAGGCGAGCGGATGACGACTGCGGAATACCGGATAAGGGTACGACGGGGTATTTTCCAGGGTGACTGTTTGAGTCCAATATGGTTTTGCCTCTCCCTGAATCCTCTCAGCGTGTTACTGGAGGGTTCGGGGGGAGGATTTCCGCTTCGGAGAGGAGGGACAAAAGTGACCCACCTTTTCTACATGGATGACCTCAAATTATTCGCCTCCAATCGCTCCCATTTGATGGAATTGCTTAAAGTCACTTGTGATTTCAGCAATTCTATCAAAATGGAGCTTGGGACGGAAAAGTCTGCGGTCCTCCATGTCGAAAGGGGTAAGGTCGCTAACACGGAGGGCATAGATTTATCTATGCCCGTTAACATAAGGACCCTCTCTGAGGCTTAAACATACCGATACCTGGGTATGTCACAAAATATGTGTATCGATGAGGCTGGCATGAAACAGTCAGTTCGTGACGTGTTTTTTGCACGCCTGACAAAGGTGTTTAATAGCCATTTGTCAGGCGTGAACAAGGCACGCGCTTTTAACGGCTGGGTCATGCCAGTCCTCCTGTATACCTTTGGCATACTCAGGTGGACTCAAACTGAGCTCAACGCCCTGGACCGAAAAGTCCGCACAACTATGACGTCCCACAGAATGCATCATCCGAGATCGTCAGTGATGAGGCTGTATCTGCCGCGGAAGCATGGCGGGAGGGGCTTTTTAAGCGCCCTCACCATGCACAATCGCGAGGTGTGCAGCCTCCGTAACTACTTTCTGGCGAGATCAGATGAGTCAATCTACACGGACGTCATTAGGTGTGATAAAGGACTTACCCCTCTATCCTTAGCCAACGAGCAATGGCAGGACCCGGGAGTACTGAGCGTTTCCGACCGAGAGGCCGTTTGGAAGGAGAAAGAGCTCCACGGGGGGTTCTACAAGGCTCTACACGAGCCTTTCGTAGATACTGTTGCCTCCCTTAACTGGCTACGTTTCGGTGACCTCTTTAGGGAAACCGAAGGTTTTGTCTGTGCGATACAGGATCAGGTTATTAAGACGAACAACTATCGGAGATACATCCTAAAGGATGGCACCGTCGACATCTGTCGAGCTTGTCGCCATCCCGGGGAGTCGCTTCGGCATGTTATCTCCGGTTGTTCCATGCTTTCTAACTCTGAGTATCTGCATAGACACAACCTAGTAGCCAGAATCCTACACCAGGAGCTCGCTCTGAAATACGGCCTCGTGGAACGGAAACTGCCGTACTATAAGTACTCTCCGGAGGCCGTGCTCGAAAATGACCGCGCCAGGCTCTATTGGGACCGGTCCATCATCACGGACAGGACGATTGTCGCGAACAAACCTGATATCGTGTTGATGGACCGGGCACAGTCGCGGGTATTTTTGGTCGACATTACCATTCCATATGACGAGAACCTCGTGAAAGCCGAAACAGATAAGAAGACGAAGTGTCTGGACCTGGCTCACGAGGTGACCGACATGTGGGGTGGTGTGCCGACCGAAATTATCCCGATAGTCGTGTCTGCCAATGGGTTGATCCCAGTCAGCCTCTCCGGACATCTGAGGCGACTGGGACTCCGGGACGGAGCGCTCCAAGCTCTAATGCAGAAAGCGGTGCTCCTCGATACCGCCCGCATCGCCCGCCGGTTTCTCTCCCTTTCACCCTAACCCTCGGCCGTTTGGTCTCCCCTGCCGAGGGCTTCCGTCTGGTTGGGTCCTATTTATATAATGGGTCCTATTTATTTTTATCCATAATATTTATTTTATATATGCAATATATATGTATATTTTTTATTTTTATTTATAAACCCAACCAGACGAGAAAACAAATGAATATCCCCCCATATACTTTATTGTACACCAAAAAAATCAAAATGAAAAAGTACAAAAAACAAAATATTTAACAAAATATTGGTCATCAAAAGGCGGCCTTATTGCTACACAGCAATTTCTTCCAGGCAACCTCAAAAATTTACCAAAAGGAATTGTTGATGGGTAGGATGTACATGAAGGAAAAAAAAATTATAATAATAGTAAAAAGAAAGTATCAATTAAAATAATAAGAAAAACATACTTCAAGTGAATGATGAATGATGAATGTATGATGTAATGTAAGGCGGTTTTTATAAGTATTATGTGCTCTTTGCATTCGACCAGTGATTCTGATTTTATATGGGTATAAAATAGTATACTTATTACCTACTAAATATCTATATTAAATAATATCATCGACATTTTTTTAATCAAATTAAAAAACATGTTACAATAATAAAACCTTTCTTTGATAAATTAGTATACAACACCGAAAGTTCAATTTAGGTCAAGTGAATCTAGAAACCATACCCCATTGTATATATGTCATATCATACCATATTTCAGTATATATGTCTTATCTATGAATCATACGCAAACCAACCGCTGATGCCACTATCGCTTAAACAGAGGTTACTGAACTAATGTTAAAATTCGGTTAAAACGTGTAGCTTCTACTGTTTTAAATTCATTTCGTTTAACTTTCCATTTACATATTTAATCTTGTTTATAAAATGTGGATTACTCGTGTCGTGTATTCTGTTGTGCTTGTCATACATGTTATAGAGTTTTGTAATACTTCCAAATTAGCATCTATTGAAAAAAGTTACAACAAAGGAGTGGAAGCCTATTCTCGCGAGAGATGGTCAGAATGTATAGCAAAATTCGAGGAAACACTTCACTTATTTAAGCTATATAAAAGAATAATAATAAACTGTAGACTTAAATGTATGTCACAAGATTGGACACCAGAGGTGGAAGATATTGAAGATATTAAAGTTTACGAAAAGTTTTTAAACGTAAGATTATGCATCACTAAGTGCCAAATGAATGAATTTAATGAAACTGGTATTAGCAGTATTGTGCCTGAATCTATTTTACAAAACATGCAATCTAAGAAGCCATATGAGTATCTTCATATATGTTATTTCCAAATGCACTCCTTTCCCAAAGCAGCGTCTGCAGCTTACACATATTTAGCTGCCCACCCAAGCGATTCCAAAATGGAAAATAATGTTAAATATTATATAGATATGCCTGAAGTTGATGTTAATGAGGTGACTGACCTTGAAAGTGAAGACTTTAAAATATTCTATCAACTAGGTCTTAAAGCATATAATTTTAAAAAATGGGGAGAAACAATTGCTAATATGGAAGAAGCACTAACTGATTATTTATCTTGGGAAAATATGTGCCGTGCTGAATGTCAACATCAATCAGAATTGGAATGGTCACCAGAGTTTACAGTTACTGTTTCAAACTATATGTTGAGTCTTTTGATGTGTAAACAAAAATGTCAAGAGAAACTTTATTCTTTACATTTTAATTCAGGACACAGTTTTTTAGCTGATCTTCTGAATTATCTACAATTTTCATATTATAATGTAGGCAGAATAGAAGATGCTGCTAAGGCAGTACAAAGCTATTTGTTATTATTTCCTTACGATGAGGATATGTTGTCCAATAAAAATATTTACTTAACTTTAACAGATGCAAAAAACTTTATTGAGCGATCAGACATTGCATACTATTTTAAACGTGACAAAAATGAACAAATTGTTTTAGATTTATTTGATAAAGCTGAAATTAATAATGAAATATTAACAATGAAGGAATAAAGTGAAGAAAATTGTTGGAAACATAGCTTCAAACTAGTTATAACTAGTCATCGCTAGTTAGCCAAAAAACTAATTTTTAAAAAGTTTTTTATATAAATGTATAGGCTAGTGAAAACTTCGCATGTGCCATAATTCTTAAGATATTTTAAGACTAATTTGTAAATATTTCTTAAAAAGAGATATATTTGGATACACTTTGGAGTTTATTGTATAATTAAATATAAATATATAGATATATAAGTATATTTTTGGGCTAGTCACTTATACCAGTACTTTTAGATATGATGTTGGAATTTTTATTGTAGGTTCCTACTAATATAAGAACATCAGTGCATAACAGTAGTTTTAGTATTATTAAAAACTTTTTTTAATAAGGTGGATGATGGTTTCATAAATGGCCTTAGAACAAACTTGAATTCAGAACAGAGTACAGACTGTCAACAACAACACGTCGTGGTCTTGGTCTGTCCTACCCCTAGTGTTTTTAGAGCCCGGAGGCGCGGAGGGAGGGCAGCCCCTAAAAAGGAAATATGTATAAAATTGACAATAAGAAATATTTCCCTTTTAAAAAATCATTAAAAGAAAACTACTTCCAACGAAAACTACTTCCTCCCCTTGGGATTCCTATGCCACTGAATCTTCCTCCTCCCCCTCCCAACCCCCTAGTTAAATGTACCTATATAATTGACCTTCCTATTTTTGTACATGAAGTCCCTTAGTTTTTACTATCTGGTATAAAATGAAAACGTAACAAAAATCTGTAAAGGCCTAACAATGATAATTTGTTCAGACTATGACTATGGCATTTTGTTTGTGTACCACAGTATGAACTCATAACGTAAATCAGTACTCGTTGCATCTCAGTTTATTCAATGTACTCTGTGCGTTAGTGAAATGTTCTTTGGAAATTTTACGCAATGAGTATACGTTTATATAAATGTACAAGGCATGTATAATTTTGACATATTTTATACTAACTGCTGCCCGCGAATAAATCTGCGTAGAATAGGCGTAACGTTCAGACAGATATACTTAAAATATGTATATAAGTTATAGCCTGTCTTATTCTGATGTATAAGCTATATTATTGCAAAGTTTCATTAAAATCCATTCAGTAGTATTTGCGTGAAAGATTAACAATCGTGCATCCATACAGACAAACGTTCCCTTTGCCTTTATAATATTAGTAAGGATAATTAGTTTTGACTTTAAAATAAGAAGAAACCAACTCGTAGGGTGGGCGTATTCTATTCTCACAACGAGAATAAATAACGGTGGTAGGGCCACGCAACAGCCTCGGTTGTTGCACGAATGGGCAGGCTCGTCCGGGTAAGTATCACGACCTCACAGAAGACCGGCTTAAAGTGGAAGAATACTTCCGCTTTTCGTCTAGTGAATGAGATCGCCGGAGCCCAATTTACAAAAGGTTGTCAACGCATTTGCAAACCCACGGGTGTAGCAGATGTCCATGGGCGGTGGTACTATTAAAAAAAAAACCTAGTGGTTATATTGTCTATGATCAATAACGAGATTTTGACAGACAACTAAATTACTTCTTATTTTTTGTATATACAGAATGGTTTTCTATACGAATACTTTGACATAATGTTAATTGAGCATTTCATAGTTCAAAAAAATTATAATATTTTATTTTGACAAGAAATAACCAGAAAAATATCAATTCAAACATTGTTTTTTTATCCCGTTAAGAGGGGTCACCCTATTGATAAGCTGTTTATTAATTGTGCGTTCAGCGAAAAGTTTTAGTGCTCGTGAATAGGTTACTGTATTGAGACGATAAGGCAGGAGTTTCTTAGTGTCCATAATGTTTGAAAAAATTAAAAATAATCTTTGAAAAAAATGAGGTCACAAATACGTACCAGATCGAGATTTAGAATCAAATTCTGCATATGCTCTGTTAATATGTCCTTCGTCTATGAAATCATCCTAGTTTCTTTTGTTTAAGTGTAATTTATTGTTAGTTTCCGCGAAAGAGACTTGCGGACTTCGGCAAAACAATATTGCTGGTGCACAATGACACCGTCCCCTCTAGCCTCTACTGCAGATTCGAGACCCCTATAGGCGAGTAATAGAAACTTGCTAAATGTTTGACTTTCACAATAAATAATTATTATATTATTATTTGAAGGACTAATTGCTATATTTTGGTATGCAATTTAGTAACCTAATTTAAAAGTTTTTCACTAAGACGATAAATATAATCGTAGAATTATTTTTATCGAGGCTACAGCTGGTAACCTTTCTTTTTTTTAACAATGGCGATACTTTTAGATCAACTGATGCTTGTGGAGGGCAATATTTTACCTTTTTACTGTCGTGTTACATTAAATTAAACTATACGAAATTATTTGAACTAAATAACGATGAAGGCAAAATCGTAAGATATATTATGGAGCTAAATATAATTATTTCACAGTAACTTGTATTGCCATGTAAGTCGCCATCATAACTTTTTCTTATAATAAAATTTTATCAACACTTTCATTTTGAACACCCTAATTTTCGAATTTTAAAGCCTCTAAAACAATTATAAATATACAAAATCTATAAAAATATTCTACAAACAAATACATAAGTGTTAAGGTGGGGATGTATGTCAACAAGTAAATTTATATTACGGTATTTATTTTGATTGTGTTACTTTGTAAGTATGGAATTCTTTTAGTTAATAATTTTTTATGTTGCTTTAATAATTGTAATAAACATTTTTCTTTATCTATGTATTTATTTATTTACAGAAAAATGGATGGTGATTACAGTGATGACAAAATAAACATAAAAACTTTATTGTTCACCAAAGCCATTCCAAGCTATACCCTACCTATAGCACAAGGACATAAAGTTTTCTCGTGCACCGACTGTGGTGACAGGTACAACTTTCAGAGATCATAATCCTAGTTTGCATTCATGAACATCTCTAAATCAATAATTTTATATTTTTCAGATACATCATGGAATCAAGCTATGATTATCATGTTAATAGGAAATCTGTTAAAATTACTTACAAATGTCGACATTGTGGTGAAAGTATAATATTTTTTAATCGCTGTAACTTATTAAGTCATATAAGATCTCACGCTTTTAAAACAGCTACTATAAATGTGAGTGATTTAAAGGTAGAACCTTTACCGATTGATTTCTTCTCCAAAGTAACTTCTAAAGAAAATTTCTCACAAAAAGTTAATATATCTCCTAAGCCACTGGGAAATACCACATGCTATGAATGTAAAACAGATAGTACATATACTGGAATAGCATATAAAGATAGAGCTAAACATTACATGCAATATACAAAAGCTTTGCATTCATGTCCCGTATGTATGTTTATTTTACCTACAGTATGTGCATTGAAAGCTCATTTGCGTCTCCATTTGAAAACTCCACCTTTTTATTGTCCTGAATGTGGAATTAATCTACCTAACAAAAGTATACATTATCCATATGCTCATGATTGTGAAGGCTTCAAAATGATGAGGGCCACTGCTAGATTAAAATGCTCTATCGAAGGTTGTCATATTTTCCACCCAAACGAGTATACTGAACATATGAAGACACTACATTTAAAAAAAATATATAGGTGCCCAGTTTGCATAGTTGCTTGTTTTACTAAGGATAGCATACAAAGTCATTTAAACAGCCATAGTTATGACCCCCAGCCAATAGTTTTCTATCAATGTGATAAGTGTTCTGGAAAATTAATAGTGCAAAATCATATAGACAGTCATTTAAGAACACATGTCAATTGCTATGCTTATCCATGTTGGACATGTGGCACTATTTTCAAGGAAGTTTCAAGTTTGATAAATCATCACATGGACAACCATACACAAGAAATAAATATAACCAAGCAATTGTATGCAAGTGTCCTAGGTGACATTAAAAAGGAATTTAATGTTACTAGCAAACAGGACATAGTCAGCAATTATAAGACAAAAAGAAATAAAATCAAAGCTCAACACAAGCAATCTACAAAATTAACCAAATTGCAAACTAGTAAACGAAATAAAAAACATATTATTTGTCACTTGTGTAAAAATAAAATATCTCAAAACTGGAACTTGATAAAAGAACATTATGAAAATTATCATAAAAGTTACAAATGTGTGGACATAAAAATTATTTTGGAAAAACTTTGTATAAATAAATATGAATTTAGAAAAAATCGTAGTTTGAGGCACAAAACCTTATGTAAAATAAAATATCACAGAAAAAAGAAATGTGATGAAAATACAGATAGTGAAGTAAGTAGCAGTTCACAACCTGCAACTGAAAAAAATGAGTTTACTTGCCCAAAATGTAGTCAAACAAATGAAAATAGGGACATTTTAGAGATGCATATGATTATTCACAGAGACCCTTGTATGGCTTACCAGTGTTTGGAATGTGGACAAAGTTTTGCAGTTAAGCCATCATTTTCTACTCATCTTTTATTAGAACATGGAATATCAGACGTTACAGATTACATTAAAAAGAAGCAGTGTTATAATGAAAATGCTCTTGTTAAAGAAATATACAGATCTGATGAAGGAGAACCAATAAAAGAAAATCAATGTCAAATTTGTAGGGACCAGTTTGAGGATTCCAGTAAGTTACAAAAACATTTTAGGGTTCATGGGATGGCCTTTTTAATGAAAAACACTAGTAAATTGAATATATAATAATGTAATAAACAAACAGATTGTATAGTATTATTTTAAACACATTAAATATTTCTAAAAAACTGTAAAGATGAAAAATAAAACATTATTAGAATAGGCAGTTTTAATCATTCATTTCTGGTCCATCATTAATACACAATGACTTAATAATTATGCAATACTGACAAAATCCTTGCAACAATTTCATTACCTAGAAGTTACTACATGTTGTGTGTGTATGTTTGAGTACCAAATATTATTTACTTTAATTAATAGATACCTACTGAGACAGAAGAAGCAACTGAGCTGAACATGACTATGATCCCATTCGCTCCGCTGCATATCCGCAACTCCTGTTCACGAAAAATGGATAATTCGACTAATAAGGGGCGCACGCCACGTTCCAATGGCCCTTTAGAATCCTTAGATGGAGTTTCAAATCTCGGCTCGGACGGCGTTCCATCGTAAAAAGTATCGAAATTAATAAGGTCGAAATTGCGATTTAACCATGAGATATACTTACAAAAACAATTAATTGGGTAAATTAATTACGTGCTAGATTACAATTTAGTTCTTTTCTATTACGCCGACGATTAACCGATCGGTAACAGGCTCATTCTTAAATTACAATAACGACACCATGTTAGCGCTTTACAAGTGGCCTTGCACACAACGCTGTTGTGTGTTGTTCGCGAATTGGAAACTTCGTTGTTAAACCTTCGTTGGGATAGTCGTAAAACGTTTATAGGGCACCGCGATCTCGGATGTACGGTCTGAAGGAGAGCGGGAGTATATAACGCAGACTTTAACCAAGTAATCTGGATATACGTTTATTACTACTACTTAAATGTTTTATCGATTATGAAAGTAGATTTTAAATTCATATTTAAGTTTTTATTCAGAGTAACGCTTAGAAATTTGGAATTTTGCTTTTCACAGAAAAAGTTGGCCGAAAAAGCTCGATAAGCTACTTTTTTATTTATTTATTTATCATTTATGTACACTGAATTATGATAGAAATGTAATAACTTAGAACTTTTTATATCATTCTCCTAGATAGAGCGTTTAGTGGAAGATTGTGAGCGTATATTAATCCGGGTTTAGTTACGATCGGTCACGTATACGACTGTACAGCTTGTACCCGAACTCGACTCTTCTTTAGTAGTCCTACGTATGTCACCTGTGTCCCTATACACAGTAAGTGCCCATGCTTTAGAAACGTTCAGAAGGACTGAGGAAGGGATAGGACGCCGTCACATAGACAGTGGTCACGAAACAGATAGATTCCGGTCATAGAACTTGATTACATTTTGCTAAACATCATAAATTTTTTAGAAAAAAAAATAAACCAAATAATAGGCAAAAAAATAATAGGCACCTAACTAGTATTTTTCGAGTTTACATGAATGGACAGGTAAAAAAGGAGGAAGTGTTAATCTTCATTATTTGAAATAAATATATGAAACGACAGATATTTTGGTTTTTAATATTCGTAGCTTAAAGAAATGGCAGCCGGGCACTCTCCGCGACCTAAGTGGCCTCACTGCGATTCACTGGAGACGTTTCCTTCGGATTTCGGTTCGTAACAACATCGACCGGATGTAGTCTTTGTTAATTTTAGTTAGTTATTGTTATGTTTTAACGATATTATTATATAATTTTATCGGTAATATCCATTACCAGCGTTTCACTATGTTAATCTAAGAATAGATTATTCGATTTTTGTCGTAAGGTCTATAAAGCTACATCGAAGCCCTTAGGCAGACACTGCAGTTCCTTCGGACTTAAAATCTATGTAATATAACTAGAACTGATATAAGAGCATAATTATTATACTATACAGAACCTTACGTACCGTAATGATGACAACACTTCACTGCATCCTCAAATATGTGAAAGCATTTCTTTCCAGAGTTTCTACGACTGATTTAAGTTTGCATCTCTCCGGGCGGAAAGCATAACTTCATTCATCAAATCCACTTTACTGTTTGGAGTTATTTACCCTGAAATAATTTTTTCTTTACCTTCCTACAAAGTTCAAATTTTAATGGAAATTAACATTAATCTTAGTAAAATTTTCCAGAAGGCCGATTTTTTCACTCCTTATTGTTCTATGTAGATCTCCCTTGTGTTTTAAATAAATCTTCCGCTCCTTGACACTACTTCATTCATTTTTATTAAACGTGAATGGCTCGAATCAAATCAAAAACAATGTTTTGCATGGAAAATTTTAAGCTTCTTATAAGACGACAAGAACCAGAATAGAATCTAATAGAATTTGTACTTTAATTCATGAGTTAAACTACAAATTCTATTCCCTGTCGAACCAATGCTAACAAAGTAGTTACAACCAATACATGTCTAATTGTTGGGCAAAGGTATCCTCTGTTCAGAGGGTATCAGGGCATAGTCCACCACGCGGCCCCACTGCGGATTGGCGGAATTCAGATATCTTCTTAATATTTTTTTTGTTAATATTTAGAAAATAATGTGCTATCTTATCACCGCTGCAGTTAAGTCAGCACTTAAAATTAACAATTTTATTTGTGTAGCGGGGATTGAAATTGCGCGAGTATATTTACTTAAAAACGCAGTTCAAACCAAAGTAATCACTTGATGTAGGTACGTGGTATGGGGAGAGTTTGATGTGATCAGTCATTAGAAATTGCTACCGTTAAAGATTGGTCCGTCGTTTGCATGAACAGTTATACATTTATTTCAGTCTACGTATATGTTGCTTCGTCTTAGTTTTATCATATTTGATCCAAAAATATTACCACAAACTTCTCGTCACCTGAGGATTAACTCACACTTTATGGTAATTATTCAAAAAAGAAGTTATTAGATAATAGTAGTCATAGTCAAGGCCACTTTATTAAAAATACCAGCCGTCTTACTTCCCAAATTCGATTCGAATTTGCTTTTGTTTTCGATTCAAACTCGATTTGAAAAGCTTACTCCCGAACCGAATCGAAACTAGAAAGAAGACCGTGCGTTAACTGTCAAATCCGGTAACTGTATCCGGCTTATTACGTCACAGACAAATGTTCCAAGTTTACGGTTCTAGCATCTTTCCTAGTTAAAACTTCAATTGCTTAATTTTTTTTCGAAAAAATATTCGATCTTAGTTAGTTCCAATTAGAGCCACCACTCGATTTTGCGCTGGCGTCGGATTCAGTGGTACGAACTATCATGAATTCGAGTCAAACTAGATTGATTCAGAAATCGAATCTATAGGGAGTAGGCCTGCTGTTATTCTGAACGATATATTGTCTAGGTCTACTGGCTGCTGCTATTTTAAAATAATGTGAGAATTTAAAAGTCCTGCGCCCGATCATTCCGCCTTGTATCGAGGCAGAGGAATACGTGTATACTACTTTTACTTAATAAAGAAATTGTAGTCCAACTCTAACCTGAGTTTAAATCGATTTCAGAAGTGGGATTACAAATGCTCATAGGCATGCGAAGGATTGAATTTGAAATAATAATAAAACTGCTGCACTGGGTGAATAAAAAATATTTAAAAAAATAGGGCGACCTATAGTTTTAATTTCAATTATGCTAATTTCAAATTACGTAGGTATAAACTCTACGCTAGATCCTCTATAATGTATATGAACAAAAAAAATATTTGTTCAAATGTCAAAAAATTATAAGTATAATAAGTTGGGGAAAAAGATAAAAAATATATTTAAAGATAAAATAATTTCATCACGACATTATTTGAAGGAGTAACGTTAACAAATTTAAATATTTTATTTGTCATAACTATGTTTACATTAATGTGTAGCTTAAATCTATTTAACTGTATAACATCATGCAAATGCCTAAATTTATTACATAAAATGTCTAGTCATTATATTCAAATAGTTAAAATATACCGTAGTAACTTAAATACCTAACTAAGACACTATGTCCATTCAATACAGTATTTTTTCAAACAAACATCATGTACACAGTACATATTCATATCAATACAGATATACAGCGTTACAGCCGCGACGATAAATGAACACGCGTCTAATAATCATAGAAAATATAAAACGTTGAAAAATCCATAATTACAAAAACTTTTTTCAAACAAACCAATGAAATAAAAAGGAAACAAAATTTGTAAGATCCTATACAACTACAACTGACTGATTCATACATTCAGAGACGTTTTCATTCGTTACAATAACGTCGCATTACAAGTCTCTCCTTCTAAAAGTATGTTTTATTTCTTAAATTCGTTCAACCCATTCGTATGCTTTGTGACCTTTACAAATGAACTTTACGTTACAATTTTATACATAAAGGTGTTTTAAAATTGTTTGTTTCAGAAAATTTAATAACTCTGTAAATATTGATGTTTAAAGAATGTAAATGTTTGATACAATTTTAAAAAGTTACCTCTATATGCGTGTTCGTTTATTGCCGCGATTGTAACGACACGCTGCATTAAAAAAGTTATTTTAATTATTATTGTAACTATATCAATAATGTTATATGATACTATAATTAACTATATCATAAGTTTTATTTACAATTACATAAAAAATCCTTAAAACTATTAATACAATAAAACAGCAGCGCCATTTTCTTTTTCAAACTGAAATGTTTTTTTTTGTCTATTTAAATTTTCTCAAATTACCAGGAATGTTATTTAAGTATTTTGATACAACATTATAGTTCTTTTGTACAAAGCTGTGTTAATAGTGATGTATGTGAAGATGGGGAGAACCACACTGTGTTACATTGGGTTCTTCCCATCTTCACATACATCACTGTATTCCTCGAACAATATCGGGTTTTATTATAACAAAAGTATTCTACTTCATTAATACATAAATAGTAAAAAAAATAAAAATAAACAAAATAACTATTCTAACAAGGGTTTGCAAGATTCAAGTTTATTTATTCAGTTATTTAAACTTTATTGCTATACTTTAAGCTAAGGGCTACAGTGGACAGAATTAGTGCCTAATGGCATTCTCTACTAGTCAACCTTTGTTTTGGTGAAAAGCAAATGTTCAGTGGATTATATCCATATTAAAAGGCCATGTCTTAACTTAAATGCAGTCATGGTAGTCGTGTGAGTGTTGTCCCTTCACTTTATTGCTGTCTTTTTAAGGTGTACCCAAACCTACTCAAACTGATAGAAACTTTTTAATTGATTTGCTGCTTCTAATTACAATGTTGACCTAATTATATATTAAGAAATGTAAAGCCCCTAATTTTTTATAGCCACATCTCAGTAATTTTATTATTTTAAAATTAGAAAATGATATAAAATTGTGTTTTCACAACTTAAGGTCTAAATTGCTATTGGATCATAATATGGTGTTTGATGAGTATAATATTTTTCTTTTCACGGAGTAGAATCGTATGTTTTACTATATTTTAGCTATGGATTGAATATCCAATATAAACTTTTTCTCGGTTCGGGCTGGATGGTGTACTTCACGGTCCTCAAGTTTCTCATCGTGCAATATTGTAACTAACCGTCACGATAATTTTAGTAAAGACTTGCAGATACCTACAATGGACTTTTCTCATACACGGAGTGTTAGAAGTCGTCATTCGCGCGGATATAGGAAAAGTAACTCACGCTGTCGAACTAGTTCATCATCATCTAGTCGATCACGTGCGAAGCGACAGATAGCCGTTAAGCTAATCGGCTCGTTTCTCCGAATGTTTCCCCCATCGCGTAGCCTTTCACAGAATCACAACGTGAATATAACAATTTGTTGCTTCATTAATTAGTAAACCTATTAATAAAGTAATAGAGGAAGCAGTTGCCAAGGTATTGGCTTCGGCGTCGGGAGTCGTGGG